GGACTTACGTTATGTGGGAATTTGACGCAGTGCTACGATGTATCATAAGCGTAATCCAAAGTGTTGTCAGTGTTTTTGCCATTTCCTTCACTGGCCAAACATCAAGCAAGCATTTCATCTTTTACTCTGAAGTGCTTTAACGTGTTTTTTTTTTGCTTCGTTATTTCCTTAGGTATATGAATATTGTTTTCGAAGTATTACAATTAGTCACGAATAACGTTCATGAAACCATGTTTTGTGACATGTCAAGGCCTGAATGCACCCTTATTGGCATACGCGATTCATGATTCTCTTCACCCCATGAAGAAACTCTGTATGAAAGTTTATTACGCCATATCAAAGTGGACTAAAAGCATGCTGCACTTGCCTCTGTCAAAAACAGCAGGCAGAAACGAGAAACAGGAAAGAGGGGTTGCACTAGCAGGCAGTTGAGTACATATAGCAAACCCTAATTTGGGCTGTACTCGCTATAGAGTACCCCACTGCAGGCTAGACAAACATCACATTTGGACACACCCCCATAGTCATAGTGGGGTATAATCAGCACAACAAGCAGGCAGAGCAATAGTTCACAATGATAAGCAAAGCTAGAGGCAGTCACAGAGGGCAAGTGAGGAGGAGGAGGGACTGTGAGAGGAGTGGAGATAGGAGGCGTCGGGTGAAGCCGCAGACACACGGGCAACAGGAGCGGCGCGCACGGCGGCTACCGGAGCACTCAACCTCCGGACTACAGGAATAACTGGCTTCGTGCTAAGCTGCAGGCGCAACGGACCCACGGGCGACTGGCGCAGCAGGCTCGCTGGGCTGCCGGAGTACTCAACCCCCGGACTATTGGCGCTGCTGACGTCACAACGGCTACCTCTGGTCAACCTCCCCCAACTGTCCCACACCCCTTTCACACACCCCCTGCTGTACCTCTAGCACTGCTCACATGCCACCCCCCTCGTACCACTCTGACGGCTCCAACACATCCACCTCCCTCAGCGGCAGCTGCAGCAGTGGGAGACGGAGGAGGAGGAGGAGCACGGGACGACGCACACACCCGTCACCCCCATACTCGCCACCCCCACACTTGCCAGCCCCAAACCCTAACACCGGCAGGAGCGCGGGCAGCAGCGGGGGCGGTGCACGGGCAGCAGTTCGGGGGACAACGCGCGACACCCCAGGGCTCCGCGACGGGGCAGCGGGGGGCCGCGCGCGGCTCCCCAAGGCGTCGCGACGGTCGACGGGGGGGGAAAGCACGGGTCCCCGGGGGCGACGCGACGGTCGACGGGGGGGAACGCGCGGGTTCCCTGGGGCGATGCGACGGTCGACGAGGGGGAATGCGCGGGTCCCCGGGGTGACGCACAAGCCAGTAAACCGCCGTGCGCCTCGGGGCACACGGCGGGCAGAAAACCGCCGCGCGCCCCGAGCGCGCGACGGGCAGAAAACCGCCATGCGCCGGAGCACGTGGCGGGAATGAAAAAAAAAAAAAAAAAAAAAGGTGCGCGACAGACAGGATAGCAGCGGAAGCTAACGGTGGGCCCACAGGCCAGGAGCGTAACTGTTAAAATATTTTTATATTATAATGTAAATGCATGTAACTTAGCTAGTGTAGTATCATTTAGAATTCTATTGTTGGTAGTATACCCCTTTTAGCCACCATCCCTACCACTATATCTTGTATCTCTCTCATAGTGCACCCCCTTCTATGGCCAAACCTCTCACCACTACCCTACTTCCTATCCTAGCTATGGCTACTAATATCTAAGCCTATGCTAGCTGTCTTGACATGGTACAGAGCAGTAATCGGTCCTAAGGACCTATGGGCCCGCCCACGCTGCAGCGCGAAATGCGCTATTCCTTATCGTTTTTGTCGTCGCCCTGCAATCCGCCCGCCCTGTCCGTCGCGTCTCGCGCCCACCCCCCCCCGCGCCCTGCCCGTTCGTCGCGCAGCCCGCCCATCGCCTCGCCAGGCGCCAGTGCGGACGTCCGCGACGTGCGTCAGCGCGGACGCCAGCGGCCCGCGGACAGCGCCAGCGCCAGACGCCGCCGCCTGCGCCAGCGCCAGCGCCAGACGCCGCCGCCTGCGCCAGCGCCAACGCCAGACGCCGCCGCCTGCGCCAGCGCCAGCGCCAGACGCCGCCGCCAGCGCCAGCGCCAACGCCAGTGCCAGACGCCAGCGCCAACAGCAGCTGATGCCGCCCCCCTTCCCTCTTCCTCTTTCCCTGCAGCACATGTTCCTGTAGGGGGGGGGGGGGGAGAAAGGTTAAGGGGGGATGTGAGATGTGAAGGGGCTGGAAAATGAGTGAGAGAGTGTGTGTGTGGTTCTTCTTTCTGTTTCTTGTTTCACCTTTCGTGTCGTGTCGTTTTCGTCGTTTCCGGGTGTGTACGCCCCTTGTCGCGCACACCGGGCATCCACTGCGGGGGTTAAACCGCAGGCAGACATTCCATCGTGTGTTGTATCGGTGGGCCTAGCTGCGGCCCGGTGAAGTCTGCACTTGGGTTACGTCTCGCCCCTATACTAGCTTATGCTACATGCAGTTAAGGGGGGATGTTAAAATATATTTATATTATAATGTAATTGCATCTAACTTAGCTAGTGTAGTATCATTTAGAATTCTATTGTTGGTGGTATACCCCTTTTAGCCACCATCCCTACCACTATATCTTGTATCTCTCTCATAGTGCACCCCCTTCTTTGGCCAAATTTCTCACCACTACCCTACTTCCTATCCTAGCTATGGCTACTAATATCTAAGCCTATGCTAGCTGTCTTGACAGTAACCGCTCTGATAGCATGTCAAAAACAGCAGGCAGAAATGAGAAACAGGAAAGAGGGGTTGCACCAGCAGGCAGTTGAGCACATATAGCAAACCCTAATTTGGGCTGTACTCGCTATAGAGTACCCCACTGCAGGCTAGACAAACATCACATTCTGACAGCCTCATGCTTCACTCTCTGCCGTGGTGTACCCGCTCAGGGGGTGTTGCTGCGCATGGTTGGTCACTGCAAGTACCGTAATCACCCGGATATAAGACCCTAGGGTCTTATGAAAACTACGAGAAAAAATGGTGGGGGGTCTTCTCATATTGTCATAGCAATATAAGACCCGGGTCTTTACAAATGAACATGTTTTTTTCACTTGTATTTGAATGCAAAGCTCATGTTGGTGTTTGATTCGTTTTTAGATTACGGAAAAGCGGTACGTCGAGGATGTTTTTGTGACGACTGTTTGTGAATATGACATCCATATATTGCTCTCTGATTGGACAACCACATAGCCAATCAAGTCAAACAAATCTCAAAGCAAGACCATGAGAATCGCACAGTCAGACATTTGCCAGGTGGCATCACCCTCGCAACTGGTCAAACTTTGACTCATGAGCCTCGTAATGGCGGAAAAAACAAAAGAATGCGCAACATTGACGGTGCGATGCCCACGTGACTTCATCCGAAGGGGAAATATTATGTTCTCCTTCACAAAACGACTCTATAATATTATAAAATCACACGTTCGCTGTAAAGGTGGGGGGTCTTATAATGTTTTCAGCCAAAAAGGGGGGTATAACAAAAACATACCCAAATATAAGACCCACGTCCGTATTATATACCCGGGGGTCTACAACTGGGGGGGGGTCTTATATCCGGGTGATTACGGTAGTTAGGGGGGTGTGTGAGAAGATATATTTTATATATTATTCTATAACTACCTTCTAGTGTACTACTCTTTTGTCAGTAGATCTGCACTGTGGGATCACCAATTGATCCTAAGGGGGTTACAGGCGCGTTCGCCTTGGGGGTTATGGGCGCACGGACCTGCTACACAAACAAGCCATTTTATCACAGTGATCTAATGGCTGAGATTCTGACATGTATAATGTTGTTCTTTTTTGTGGTGGTGCACAATGCTTTGCTTTCATTGTTCCTATTTGTACCCTCGAAACTTCTAGTGAAACCCCTCTTTGGCTTGCTCCATTCCTCTCGCTACTCTACCCAACTAAACCTAAGCCAAAGCTAATACTTTGACACATGCACCAATCTTCATCATATCATTTGCAATTCACCACATTAAATCAGGTAGAAACCCATGAGTATGTGCCATCATGGGAAAGCAGTGAATGCAAAATAGGTCAATGATAACACGTGAATGTAGGATTTCCAATCAACTAAACTAGGAAGCTGAAATGATGCTTTGTTTTATTCCAGGTTGAAGAATTTTGCAAAACTCACTGGTGATAGCGGACAAGGTCTTGTATTGAGTTCCCAAGGTATCTTGTCCTTCCTTGGGTTTGCGTTGCGATCCGCTGTGTGACCTTGGACCTCGACAAAGAAATCAACTAGTGTGATGGTTCAGGTACGGGTATATTATCTGGGCCTGTGATCAATCAGGGGAAGCCTGTATGATCCGCGAACCACTGTCGTCCCTCACCGCTCGCAAAACCGACAAAGTGGAAATGTCTAAGTTCTGACCTCAGAATAGGGATGGATCCGTACTGCTCCCTGTATCGAGCCGAGGATTATCAGCTCAACGCATCACTTAATGTATTCTCGCATTGCTAGAGCATCGGTTTCCCGTTAGCTTCGCACTGCCGTCGAATCGAAGTTTGCCAGACAACGCGGACAGATCACAACTTGTTCCCATTCATGAAGGTCGTCGCAATCGCGTCCGATCGGTCTTCGCTCTCACAACCGATTGTAACTGGAGTCACAGCGCTGGCTGATCAGTCGCCGAGTCGCAATGACGATCAACGCGGTGCTCGAGGCGGACCTGCGCTCCATTTCCGCTGAGGCTCGGCGGCGATTCCCCGCCGTGAAGGACGCCGCGGAACGTGGGATTCTCAAGGTGTGCTGCACGGATGGGCTCAGACGATCCAGTGTTCTCACTTGCAGCTGTCATGCTCCCCGTGCTGATTTGTGAGGCTGCTCAAGAGTAGTTCCCTGTGCTGATATGCTCTGCTTCTGACTTATTGGCGCCATGAACACTTCCTTCTCGCTGCGCTCTCGTTGTCATTACTCAGCTGCGCTCCCTGGCAGGTCCTGAAGCCATTTCGAGAAGTGATGAGCTGTTGCGAATCTTCCTGCTGGCGTGCGACACAAGGCAGCCGCGGCTGTGCGCCTTGGGATTGTCGTGCGTGCAGAAGCTGGTGGCCAACAACGCAGTGCCGCCTGCTGCCTTACCTGATATACTGACCACGCTCAGAGAGGTGAATCACGACGCTCCCGGATTCACACTGCATGCAAATATGCAAGCCGGTCCAGTTGTCATTTCTCACATTGATGCAAGGCTCTCTGACCAGCACTCCATGCCATGATGCGCCGCATTCTGCCTAGCATTTCTTTCACTGCTTCAGTTTATCCCGACTGACATGCATTGTAGTCCTCAATATGACTGAAAATTCCTGCAGTGGTGCATCTCATGATCCCATCTTTTGGCTTTTTGACCCGCATGCCTTGCATTGATGCACTTATCCTCCAGACTGACATATAGCAGTGATGCGTATCTGACCGATTTTGATTCCAGTCATGCATCCATCCTGACTGACATTGATTGCAGAGATGCCATCAGAATGCACAGCTTGCAGTGATGCAGTACATCTGCCTCACGTTTCTGTGCCTGACACACGACTAGTTTACCTGAAACCTATGCAGGCAATGGTGCATGCCGAGCATTGCACCCACGTTCCTGGCTGTAGAACGGTGGGTGTGACATACATTACTGATACGGCAGTGTTGCAGGCTCGCCGGCGATGCGAGTCAGCCCTGTTCTGCACCTGTCCTTCCTTTCTCCCATGTACACTCCCCAGCACGCGGACGGGTCAGAGGAGGCGGTGCAGCTGAAGGTGCTGCAGACAGTGCTGACAGTGCTGCAGTCGCAGCTGCACCCCAAAGATGAGGTGCGCTGCCATGCCATCGCCGCGCCCCTCTCACATGGGGAGACGGAATCTGTTTGCTTGGAGAAGAGTGTCTCACGAATGCACCTGGATGGGAAGGATGAGGAGCATACGGCATGCATGCGAGCATCGGTACATGCATGCATGCGAGCACTGGTACATGCATGCATGCACACGTACGGAGGCTCGTCATGCTGCATTCAAAGATGACCCAGTGCATGCCTCAAGTCGGTAGCCACACGTGTGCACCAAGATGGTCCATGTATGCGCCCATGTCCCGCCCATCCCATGTGTGCAGGAGAGCATGGCCATCATCCTTGGCATCTGCCTTCGCCTTGCAGGCAGCACACGGCAGCTGGACTGTGTTCACAGGTAGGGGGGAGGCGATGTTCACTTGCATGCTCGTGTGCGTGGCCTTTGAGTGCCTGCCGTTGCATCCACATGTTGGCCTGCCCCTGCTGCTGCACTTCATCCCCACGCAAACATTTCCCTCCCCGTCAACCCAACCCGCGTGCATGTGTGCATGGCAGCACGGCGACAGCAACGCTGCGGCAAGCCATAGCGCTCATCTTTGACAGAGCTGCCAGCAGTGAGGGCCTGCCGGTGCAGTCAGCCCCCCGCCAGGCCAACCGCGTGTGGAACACCTCGGAGCCGGGCGACATCAGCCGCATCGTCATGGCCTCCCGGTGAGCCCACTGCCAGTCAGTCACCAATGGCATGGCATTCAAGAAGTACGTGTGTCACAACATGTTTGCCCCCCCTTGTGGCACATGAACCCTTGGCAGGGCGACGGAGGGCGAGGGGGCAGGGCGGGGGGTGGGGGAGGAGCTGGAGACGGTGGTGCTGAAGGAGCGCGTGGACGACCTCTCACCTGCTGCTCGCATGGGCCTCCGCCTGCTCGAGGATCTCGCCGCCCTCGCTGCTGGCCAACAGGTGTGCACCGGGCACAGAATTTCCCCAGAAAATAGTTGGTGGGACGAAGGCTGCTGGAGGAGCTAGGATGGGGAGGCGAATTGAGTAGAAATGGGACGTGCTGGTGGAGCTAGGATGCATTTCACCTATTGCATCTCCGCTCCTGTTCTCATGTGTGCCTGATACCCCCATGCTCTGCTCCTTTTCCACATGGCAGGCGCAGTGGCTGCACGTGCCGTCACTGCAGCGCACGTTCGCCCTGGAGATGCTGGTGTACGTCGTCTCGCACTATGCCACGCTCTTCCGCCGCCTCTCTCCCTACCAGCAGGTCAGCCATGCTGCGTGCCGTGCTACCATGCATGGGCTAGGCCAGTCGTGAGGTGAGGTTATGAGGCATGACAGCATCAGTTGCCAGCATAACAGCTGTCTCGCTGCAACTTTGCTCCCAATGCGCGCACACTGCATGAAAACAAGATTGCATGAGCTCAACTTCCAAAGCTCAGGACTACTACTCCAGTGGTGTGCTTGGGTAACTCTAAATCAATTGTAAGGTTGATGGGTGAGCGTCCCTGCTTCCCATTTGTCCCTTGCATTTGATGTGAGCAAGTTCTTGCTCCTTCTTTCCCCTTCCACCTCTTGTGTTGTGTGCCACACCAGGTGCTGCAGCACAAGCTCTGTGCACTCGTCATGACGTCACTGCGCTCCACAGGCTCTGAGGTGAGTGGCATAACGTTGTGTGAACTCCACACTTTGAAGCGGATCTGCTGATGCTGTTATTCTCCAGTTGTGGCAACGAAAGAGACAGACAAAGCGGAACGCGTGAATAACAGGGAGCAGATGTACGTATGGCTGTTGAAATCATGGAAAAAGCACAAAACCTGGTGACAAAATTGCACTGTGTGGGACTTATGTCTCTCTCTCTAGCACAATGTGCCTCTTACATATGCATGCGGTCCCTCCAGCTGTATTTCCTGATATTTGCTCTTCCATGTACACGGGGTGGCGTGGGCATCAGGAGGGGGATGTGGGCGAGCCAGGGTACCGGCGGTTGGTGCTGCGCTGTGTGGCCACCCTCGTGCGGCACCACCACGCTCTGCTCACCACCGAGTGCGAGGTCAGGGCAATGGGTCGCGCTTGCGTCCGAGCTCCATGGCGCTTGTTGATTGATTGAAAGCAGTAAAAATGTTCTGTCCTTAGGGTATCACGTGCCACTTTGATGTTTCCTTCTCTGCTGCTCTGCTGCTGTTCCTCGTGCTCCTCTTCTTCCTCCCCATACTTCTCCAACTCTCCGTCTCATCCTTTTTCCCGAGAACCTTGTATCCCGAGCAGGTGTTTCTGCTGATGCTGGTGAAGAGCGTGGACCAGGACCTGCCTCTCTGGCACCGCATCCTCGTGCTCGAAGTGCTCCGGGTATGCCGCACACCACACCACACCACACCACACCACACCACGCCCACTGGTTAGATGTAAAGGGTAGCCCATGCCAGCTGGTAGGTGATTGGCCACTTGAACGCAGTTGGCAGCATGCTTTTTAAGAAAGTGGTTGCAGTACACCCTTCACCTGTGGCAGTGCGAAGGATCACTGGAGTTATGTGCGGATATGTGGAAGATCGATAGCATATGATAGTGGCCTGTGGCCATTCCGTACGGTAGCGTTGCTCTCTCAACACTTCGACATGTGTGTGTGCGTGTGTGCGCTCATCTGTATGCAGGGCTTCTGCGTGGAGCCAGGGACCCTTCAGCTCATATTCAATCTTTTTGACATGTGAGTACTTTCACCATATGAAGGATTTCACCTTGTGGTCTGAGAGGTTTCTTGTTTGTAGCGTGACTGCAGGTTCCCAGCAGGTTCATACGTGCCGGTGCTAGTTGTGTTGTGTCTGCATATAATCAGACAGTGTGTTCAGAGCTGCATCGAAACGTGACTTTTGAAGGATGAAATGAACTCCAGTTAGATTTATTGTGGGTGAGGTAGAGGTCTGCGCACCAAACAGCACGTGACCTCTGGAATGTTTGCTGCCGTCGTCTTCGCTGCGGACGTCCACCTCCTTTGCTCTCTTCTCCCCCCTGAGCGTCGCTGTCACCCCTGTGTCAGGCAGGCGGGCAACAGCAGCATAGTGGAGGAGATGGCAGTGGCGCTGGCGCACGTGGTGCAGAGCGTGCAGGTCAGCTGCTGCCGTGCTCTGCTTCTCCCATGCACTCGGTCGTTGTCAACACCGTTGCTCACACATGTGCCACCATGCTGACATGGTCTCATCTCATCTCAGCAGCACATCGCAACCAACTTCTTCCCCTATGACTATAATCCCCATCTCATTTCTCACAATGCCTCACTTTCGTCTCCTTATCTCATTCTCGATGATCACTCCACATCTTCACCCCTCAACCTTTCCTCATGCATGCGTGTGTGTATGCACGAGTGCATGTATGTGTGCATGAATCCGTATACACGTATGCATGTGTGCTTACACTTTGTGGCGCGTGCATGTGTATTTGTTTGCTCATGGCTCACAGGTGCCAGAATCCAGTGAGGAGAGTCTAGCTGCAGTGGCCGGCATGTTCAGCAGCAAGGCCAGAGGTGATCAGCCCTTTGCTTTTCTGTATTGCATCGTGTCTCCCTGTCACCCATGCACACTAGGCTGCCATGCTAATGCGTGTGTGGGGTGGTGGTGTGTGGTGTGTGGCAGCAGGGGTGGAGTGGTCCATGGACTTTGACTGGGCGGGCAGCGCAGTGGTGGCGGCCAGTGAGGCGCACGCCATAACGCTGGCGGTGGAGGGGCTGCTGGGCATCGTCTTCACCATCGCGCTGCTCACCGACGAGGCCATGGACCACTCGCTCTCCCACTCCGCCTCAATGCCCAACTCCCCCCTCGCGACGCGCAAGCAACCGCACGCTCAGACCATGGGCCAGGGCGGTGGGACTGCTGCCACAGATGGTGCTGCAGGGGGTGGTGCGCGCCAGAGCGAGGAGAGGACATCACCCGTGGACCCCCCCTTCCCACGGGTGCCAGGGCAGCACTCTGCCTTGCTGGCCGAGTCTGCCTCCCATGCGCCCTCCCCAGGGCTCACTCGCGGCCTGCTGGCCCTGCTGGGCGGCATGCAGGAGGAGGGCGGTGGGGGCGAGCTGATGAAGAAAGGAGATCAGAAAGATGAGGATGCGGAGAGCAGGGGCAGCAGTGCAGAGGGGCGGGTGCGCGGAGCACTGGAGGAGCTGTGTGTGCGCATGGTGGATGCCGTGTGGAAGACCGTGCTCGATGCCCTCTCCATCATTCTTGCTCGGTCAGTGCCCTTCCCTTCCCACTCACAAACTCAGAGCTGCTTGCAGGCGCACACCAGTCGGGCACACACCAGTCGGGCACACACCAGTCGGGCACACACCGCCGTTTTTGAATGCATTAAGTCATTTTCTTCTCCCTGCAAGTCATTTTCTTCTCCCTGCTCAGTTGTGTAGACACTTGTTAACTGCACAGCCCATGCTTTCAAATTACTCCGCTCATCTGTCCCGCCCCTGTATCTGCAGGTCACAGGGCGAGGCTGTCATTCTGGAAATTCTACGGGCATACCAGGCATTCACTCAGGTGAGAATCAAGATTAGGACACAAGTGGCTTCTACCCAGGTGAGGTGAGGATGCAACAGGTGTTTCCTCGCCAGACACTGCCTCTTTGCTGCCTTGCTCCGTGCACTCACATTCCCTTCCTCTGCTTGCCCCAACCACCCTTGTTGCCGTGACCACCAGGCATGTGGGGCGTTGGACCTGGTGGATCCACGGGACGAGTTCCTGGCATCGCTGTGTCGCTTCACGCTCGTCACCTCACCATCCATCACCACCATGGCGCCCCCCGCCCAGCCCTTTGACTCCGACCGCTTCCAACTGCCCTCCTCCCCGTCAAGGTAAGTTCATCCAGTTCCCATGCTCATTCCCTCCACTCCTCTCCCACCTGTGCATTGCACATCATGGCCACTAGTGTCATCACTCTATGACACCCGTTCTAATCATCACCACCAAATGCCAATCTCACACACATCAATGCCAGCGTGTAACATGTTGGCCTTCCTCTCTTCACGATTCATGGAGGGAGCTTGACATGGTGGCTTGGCTTCATGCCTGTCGACCACCAGGCACCTCGTCACCTCCCCCATCAAGCTTTTCACATTCCATCACTTGTGAACCCCTTGTGTGCCCGCCCCTGTGCCACTCCCCCCTGCGTGCAGCGCGTACCTGTCGCCCATGAGGTCGCTGGACGCATTGCTGGGCGTGGAGTCACGGGGCGACCTGCTCGCCTCCTCCATGGGCTCCGCTGCTGCCGCCTCTGCTGCTGCCCTGGGGCAGGCCGTGCCTGTGCTCACACCCAAGAACATGCACGCCCTGCGCACCCTCTTCAATGTCTCGCACCGCCTCTGCGCTGTGCTTGGACCGTCCTGGGAACTGGTGTGCGCCCATTTCCATCTTGCACCATCGACCTTGCGTTGTGCTTTGCCAAGTGTTCCATTCTGTAACATGGCCCACGGCCTGTGCCCCGTGCCATGATTTCTCAGGGCCGGGTTGTGTTCCTTCTCATGTTGTGCCCCCATGCCATGTTGCTTGCACCTCATCAGGTGATGGAGACTCTGGCTGCCCTCGACCGCACCATCCATTCGCCATACGCCACCAGCCAGGCATGTAGCATGTCCTTGCACGTAGTGTTGTGAGTGTCGTGCAACATTTCATGTGGTACAGGGCATTGCTGCACTGTCTGTATTGTCAGCAGTGTCCATGTGGCATCAGCACGCGAGGTGCTACCCTGACATGCGAGGTGCTACCCTGACATGCGAGGTGCTACCCTGACATGTGAGGTGCTACCCTGACATGCGAGGTGCTACCCTGACATGCGAGGTGCTACCCTGACATGCGAGGTGCTACCCTGACATGCAGTGATGCCTCTAGACGTGCATGTGCGTGGTGGTGCCGTGCAACCCTCCCAATGCAGGACGTATCAACATCAGCATCAACGCCAGCAGCAGGGTCACGCGGGTCCAAGGACACAGGCGCGCCCTCCTCACAGCAGTCCGACTTCTCCGTGCTCGCCACCCTCGATGCACAAGTAAGTATACCCGCCACCACGTACCTTGACGTGGCACCGTGACTGCGCGCTGATGGTGACGTGCATGGCATGGCGTCAATGAGTGAGATCACTGGTTGCCACCCCATCCACCCCACGCCCTCACGCCACCGCCACTCCACTACCTGCCACCAGCTGTTCCAGAGCACGGTGCACATGGACACAGCGGCCGTGCTGGCCCTGCTGGCGGCGCTGCGAGTGGTGTCCAACCGCGCTCTGCACTCCGTCACCACCGGCCTCGGCATCGCTGCCTCGGGCTCCTCCGCTGCTGCTGCCGCCGCTGGCACGTCTGCTGCTGCAGCTGCCGTGGCGTCTCCTCTCACCACGGGCGCGCTGCCGTCGACGCTCAAGATGTTTGCCGTGGAGCGCATGCTGTCCGTGCTCACCCACAACATGCACCGTAAGTCGTGGCCCATTCAGAGAAGCACAGTGTAGTTCATGGCTGGATTGCACAAGCAATCTGTTTATCTCACAGGCGAGGGTCACTGTGGTTCTTGATTATCACTCTAACTGTAGGACCCTGCACTGCACCGTGTCTGCTTGTGCCCTGTTTCAGGAATGGACCTTATCTGGGATGCCATCCTGCTGCACCTGCTTGAGGTATGCACCGCTTCCAATCCAACTCACAAGTCTAGCTGCACTCTGTCTTGCACACCCTCCCCTAAACCCAAAACTCTTCGACCAGCATAATTGTCATCCTTCATATTCATATTACAGCTCTTCCCTTGGACCGATTCTGTCTCCCATCCGTCCCTCCCATGCGTGTGTGTGCATGCACAGCTGTCAGTGCACGAGAGTGGAGGAGTGCGGGCGGTGGCGGTGGATGCCATCGACCGCGCCGTCATGGCCGCCCTCTCCTCGCCCTCGCTGCACCGCCGCTCCTCCACCTCCTCCTCCTCCGCCCTCACCTCCGCCACAGCCCCTTCACAGGCCACTGAGGAGCAGCAGGGGGCGGAGGTTTGTCGGAACGAGGGACAGGAGGGGGGCGAGGAGAGGGAGGGGCAGAGGGGGGAGGGCGAGGGCGAGGGCGAGGGGCAGGGGGAGGCGGCGCTGGAGGAGATGGTGGTGGGCGCTGTGAGCTCCCTGTGGCGCGATGGGCGCGATGCAGAGGTCAAGGCAGGCGCTCTGCGCATCCTGCTGCACATGCTGGAGGTGAGTCCGGCGCAATCCATTAGCAAAGTGCGAATGTGCTGCTTACTCCCCCAACGGCTTAACCCTGGTATGGAGGGCTATTGCCTGGCTGCACCGATGCAAACGCGTGCAGCCGTGGCATGCTCTCTTTCTCTTCTTTCCCCTCTCCCTTCCTCCTTCGCTCTCTTCCATTCTCTCTCAGTCCATTGCTGATGCCCTTTTGTGTCCTCTCTCTCATCTGGTATTCTGCACTGCCCCTCCCTTCACTGCCTGTCTGCAGCGCCATGGGGAGAAGCTGCACTCCACATGGCCCACTGTGCTCCACCTCCTGAGGTCAGCTTGCTGCACCCACACACTGATGAGCTCAAGGTGCTATCAGCTCTTATTGTTATTCGACCTTCAATTGCCATTTGTCAACGTTGTTTGATGTCATTGTGGCTCCACGGTAACATGCCATCCCTTTCCATGGTGTTCCATTCCACACTGTGCCATGCCATGCCATTGCCATGCCATCACATCGCAATCCCACGCTGTGCCATGCCGTCATGCCGATTCAATGCCATACCCAAGCAGGATGGTTGCAGCGACGAATGACAAGGACCTTGTGGGTCTTGCCTTCCAGGTGGGTGCGCCCTGCTGCTCATGTCTTCCCCCTCCTTCTTCTTTGCTTTGCTGGTCCCACTGTCCACTCATGCCACCATTTTGCCTGCGCACAAGCTGAGCCACGCTGGGTGTGGAGCAGGCACCTGAAGCTTGCATAATCGTGTGTCTCTGACTGCGCGTGTGGCATGCAGAGTGAGCTCGTGGTGGTCAACGACTGCCTCTCCTCCATTCCGCCTCACACCCTTCAACTGTCAGTCTCCATGCCACATCATGCATGCCAAACATATCATCGTGCCATGCCATTGTTACAGCGCATCCTGTTATGCTCTTTCAACACTGATCTTTCTCATACCATTCCAGCATATCACCATGCCGTCTCATTTGCCCTACCCATAGTGCTCGTTCGCATCCACAGCTCATGCCCTTTTGCCCGCATGTCTCTTCCCATCTCATGTCGCATTCCACTTGCTTCTCTTGTGCACCCTTAACCTCATCCCACAGATCGTGCCGCTGGCCCATGTAACAGACCCCCTTGGCAAAACATCATCTACTGCACTGTTATGCCCATGATTGAGTTACACGGTTCACCTGTTTTGCTCATTCACGGCTGCGCTTGCAATCTCTGATGAAGCCTGTACCTTCGATCCCCCCCTTCACTGCGTACCAGGTGTGTGGAGGTGGTGGGGGCGTTTGCGGGGCAAGTGGCGGATGTGAACATCTCTCTCACGGCAGTGGGGCTGCTCTGGACCATGGCTGACTTCTTTGCTCGCGGCCTCGACCATGCCACCACCACACACCGCACTGCCACCTGTGAGACCACTATGCACTAGGACTTACCTGGAATGTCTAATTCATTTTTCCCAAGCCGTTGACCTCACTGTTACATGCCTGACCTGACTCTGTTCTGAGCCTCATAATCTACCACCTTCTCAGGTTGCCAGTTTCCATGCCTAACAGTTAGCCCTCCTTCAAATCCCTAGACGCGTTCTTCTGAGCTTTGAGGCTTGCACCTTCTGTACCTGAAAGGAGACACTACTTTATTCCAAGGCGGTGGCTTCTCCCTCACTCATACACACAGTGCTTCCAGCTCCCCCCACGCTTGTTTTTTCTCTTCCATATCCCTCTATTTCCCAGTTTCCACACTACTCAACCAGTGTGACCTCCCCTCCTCCTCCTCGACATCCTCTGCAGCAGCCCCTCTCACCTCCGCCTCCCCTGCCACATCTCTTCCATCAACGGCGCCAGCAGCAGCAGCAGCATCAGCACTGAAGCTGCCAGCGTCAGCCACGCCCTCCACCTTCACCAGGATACACAGAAAGCCGGCTCACACAGACGCAGGGGGGACCAAACGGGGAGAGGGGGGTGAAGGAACGGATGGGGGGGGAGGGCAGGGGAGGGGATCTGGCAGTGGGAGGATGTTGGACGAGCGCAGCAGCGCACTGCTGCTGGCGGTGCTGTGTGTGATGGAGGCACGTGCCAAGGACGGGCGGCCGGAGGTGCGCAATGCTGCGATGCGCACGCTGTTCCAGACGGTGGTCAGCCACGGCGCCAAGCTGCCCCCTGCCTCCTGGCGCCACTGCCTCTGGGACCTCATCTTCCCCCTCATCGACTCCGTTCGCTCCCTTGTGAGTCCCTGCGCTCCCTTGTGAGTCCCTGCGCTCCCTTGTGAGTCCCTGCCTCCCATTGCCTTCCAGTGCCAGTCCATGGTAGTGAATGGTGGTCGGTGACATTGTGTCAGTATCAGTCACAGCGCAAGACAACCGCAGCCACATGCCTGTCAGTCACGCACCCGGCATTCGCATGTTCTGCTCTCCTCCCTTGTGGCCTGCAGGCAGCCACGGCGTCGAGAGACGAGGCGCCGGGGACGGAGATAGGGCGGCAGGGGGGGAGGAGTGTGATGATGCTGGTGCACCACAGCCGCAACACGGCGCAGAAGCAGTGGGATGAGACGCTCGTCATGGCGCTCAATGGCCTTGCTAGGCTCATCCGCGCCTTCTTCCCCCTGCTGCATACCATGGACAACTTCCGGGAAGGTGCGCTGCGCACTGCGTGCATAGTTGAGCAGTGCATGCGAAGCTGTTCCTCGTGCTCCCCACCTTCCGTCTTAGAACCTGTAAGCAAGGTCGTATACCTCTTTCATCCCAGCTATCACATTTCACTCCTCCTCTCCATCGTTTTTCCCTTTGCTCCTTCCGAACCGCCCTCCTGTACCAACCCGTGGCCATGGTGGTGGCAGTGTGGGGCGCGCTGCTGCAGTTCGTGGAGGAGGGGGTGCTGGCGGGCAGCAGAGAAGTCAGTGCTGCTGCTGCCAGCACCCTGCAGACCATCATGCTCACACATGCCACCAAGGTGACCATCATGCTCACACATGCCACCAAGGTGACCATCATGCTCACACATGCCACCAAGGTGACCATCATGCTCACACATGCCACCAAGGTGACCATCATGCTCACACATGCCACCAAGGTGACCATCATGCTCACACATGCCACCAAGGTGACCATCATGCTCACACATGCCACCAAGGTGACCATCATGCTCACACATGCCACCAAGGTGACCATCATGCTCACACATGCCACCAAGGTGACCATCATGCCCACACATGCTTTTTGTGCCTTGGCTATGCTTCCCACCACTCCATGCTGACCTCATCCTGTGCTGCCTTACCCCACCTGCTGCACTCTGCTGCGTGCATGACCCTGCTGCATGTGTGACTCCACTCCACCCGCCCGCACGTGCCATGGTGGCTGGCAGGGCAGCATCCCGCGGCACTACTGGGACAGCAGCATGGACGCGTACGAGCTGCTGCTAAGGGACAGCACGGCGCCTGCCTCTGTGGTGGCGGTGCGCACGAGGCAGAAGCTGCTGGAGGACCTGGCGGAGGTGTACAGCACGGCGGGCCTCGCCTTTGAGGACCACGACTACCTGCGCCTGCTCGCCTGCGTTGATGTCATGGCGCGCTGCCCCGTGCTGCCCTCTGAACCCCCTCCCCTCGCTGTACGCCCTGCATGCGCCCTTTGCTCTTGATGCTGTGTTGTCACCATGCCGTGCTTTCAAACAATCCGTCTGCGCCCTCTACTCACCATCATCATGGCGTCAGCTTTGTTCGCGGCCTCAGATATCCCTATCTGCTTCAATCTGCCCATTTCCTTGTCATTTGCTGCTGCTCACTGCACACTCCGCTTCGCCCCCTCCCTTCCCACACACCTCTCTGCACGCGGCCATGCCATGCGCACGGCCAGGGCACGCTGCCCCAGGTGCAGCGCACGGTGCTGGAGGTGCTGCCGCGCCTGCAGCCCTCAGCGCACGCGCATCTGTGGCCCGCACTGCTGCAGCAGCTGCTGGCGTACCTGCCGGGCGGGGACCGCCTGCTGTGCCCGCACTGCCGCGTGCCGCCGCGCTTCCTGTCCGATGCCTCCCAACGCCACGCCCCCAAGGTTGCCCTCGCTGCCGCTGCAGGGGGTGTGGACGGCAGGGGGGGGAGCAGCGGCGCTGGTGAAGGAAGAGAAGAAGGAGAAGGAGATGATGGTGGGGATGCGGGCGGAGCAGGCAGCGAGGAAATCGATATTCAAGGAGGGGACGCGGAGGGTGCCACACAAACTGCCAGCAACGGCAGTAGCAGCCGGACGGCATCATTCGGGCTATCGCTGGGCGGCAAGGTGCAGCTGTTTGCGCCGGCAGCGGTGTACGTGCCGACGTCAGGCAACCCCACGGGGTCGTTCATGCTCAGCTACCCCGTCACGGCGCCCGGCGCCCTCTCACCCGCTCTGCAGGACCGCGTGGTGGCACTGCTGCTCGAGCTCTTCCTCAACGCGCCCCCCGAGGCCAGAGACACCGTCCTGCCCGACCTCGTTGCTGCTCTCGGCAGGTGACGTGGCCATGCATGCCGTGCAGAAAAGGGTGGGCGCGAGCGGGCGCTGGAATTGAGACTTTCACACAGTTTCAGCCGTTTTTCCTGACAATTGTTGGAACAGATGCACTCTATCTCTGCTTATGCATTCATTTCATTCTCATTCACTTGTTGTGCTTATCACGTGCTTCTCCCACCATATCCTCCCCGCTGCAATCTTGCGCACCACAGGTGTATGCTCATCCGCCGCACGTCGCCTGACCTTCAGCTGTGGCGCACGGCCGTGGCCACGCTCTCAGACATCCTCAAACACGCCCTCCTGCCTGACCCCCCTCTCACACCACACGCCAATCATACCTCTCCTGACCCTCAGTCCCCTGCACACCCACCGTCTCCCATGCATGCTTCTTCCACACACCACCACACCAAGCACCAGCATGAGGCACATAAGGAAGTAAGTAAGGAGGGCAACGGTGCAGTTGGCAGCAGCAGTGAGGGGGGGAGGGCGCGGCAGCGCATGTGGCAGGAGCTGGCAGCGGTGGTGGAGCAGTTCGTGCTCGGCACATGCGGCACCGCCCTGCTCCCAGACCTCCCCCTCTCACCCGCCCAGCCCTCACCAGCACCACCCCCAGGCCATTCCCCCCGGCGCTCCCCCAGAGTGGGGGGAGGGGAGGGCGCAGGGGGCAGTCCGCGGAGACAAGCCGCCCCTGGCAGCGGCGGTGGCAGCGGGGCAGGGCGGGCCCCAGGGGCGGGGGGAGCAGCCGTGCCTGCTGGGAGGGGGGCGGGGGAGGCAGAGAGCAGCGAATGGGGCACAGGCAGCGAGGGGAGGGGTGGAGGAGGCGTGGGCAGCAGTGGGTGGGCGGGGGAGGCGGGGTCGACACGGGGAGTGTCGGAGCTGCTGACTCGTGAGGTGGTGGAGGCGGATGAAATGCTGGAGGCTCTCTTCCTTGACACCCTCTGCACGCGCGTGCTCACCCACTGCTATGACGCGCCCCAAAAGGTTAGCACCGACTGCACTGCTTTATGATGTGTGTATCCTTCTGGCATGCATCCATCCAGTGTGAATCTATAAAGCGAGTATCCTGACCTGATAACAAAGTCATTCTATATGTCAATGCACCATTACCTTATCACCCACCTGTTACCACCTTCCCCTCTGCTGTCCTGTCTCCCACATGACCCCTCTCAACCGTGCAGGAGAGGGAGCGGCTGGTGGCAGTGCTGGATGCGTGTGCTGCACGCACCAGCGCGCTGCCCCTGGCTGCTGCAGCCGCGCTGCCAACCCACTGCGCGCGCTTCTCCCTCGCCTGCCTCTCCCGCCTCTTCATGCTCGCAGGGTGGGTGCCACTCCGCCTTGTTGCTCGCCATCACCCTTACGTGCTCCACTCATGGCATCTCCCTCAATGCACTCAACACATACCCTTGCTTTCACATGCCACGTGCATCCCTGAACTGATGTGGCAAGTGCCCTCCCCCCACCCCACGTGGCGCCTGCATGCATGTGGCCAGGCAAGGCCGTCCAGAGGACACGCTGGCATCGTCGTCGGTGGCGGTGGGGCGGCTGGTGCTGCCTCGCCTCGTGGCGCGCTGCCATGCCATCCTGCACTGCTTTACTCAAGACTCCCTGCAAGCAGGTGGCCACCGCACACACACCTGCCTCACCACTTGATCGCCGCACACGAGTAGCTCACGGGGTTGCAAGCATATCTCCGGACTTGCCTCCTCATCTGCTTCCCTGCTCAGATGCGCCCCTGCATCCCCTCACTGTCTCCCACTCTCCCTCTGCCCTGCCTTCTCGACCATATTCTCCCTGCCTGCCCCTTGTGCCTTGTCCCCGTGTGTGCGCGCGCAGGCTCAGCAGCCATGCCGGCGGTGCGGCTGGCGGAGATGCTGCTGCTGCTGCAGGAGCTGGTGCGCCTCGTGCTGCACCCCCTCGTCGCTGCCGCAGTAGACGTGCCCATCGCACCCAAGGTCACTGCCGAGGCGCACGTCACAGCACAGGCAGCAGCAGCCGGGGACACGCTCACGAGGGGTGAGGTGGAGCGGGCGTGGGAGCGGGACAGCGCAGCGCCGCGGTTTGTGGACAGCGAGGGGCGGCAGCTGGGGTGGCAGAGAGCGCACCTGCTGCTGCTCTACTCGCCCCTCTGCGACCTCGTCTTCCTCCGGTACACTTTCCACACTCCCCCCCGTCCCCCTTCCCGCTCCCCCCCTTTCAACTCGGAAACCTCAGAGAACCCCCTGTCTTTGCGTGTAAGTGGCATCTGTAGCAATATCTCCATGGCAGTTGTTGCTTTTCTGCCTCATCTGTGTTCCACCCACCTCACCCCACTCCCCATGTTACCCAAACCCTTTCCTCATGCTCCCAGACACTTTCCCGATTGTTCGTATGCATTTCTATGCTCCCATACTCATTCCAGTGCTCCCATACCCATTCCCATACCCATGCCCATACCCATTCCCATGCTCCCATGCTCCCATGCTCCCATCTCTCCCTTACAATGATGCATCCACTCCTATGCTCCCCTGTATGGCTGGTGCAGGGATGCAGACCTGTCCAACCTGTGTGCCATCATATTTCGACTGATAGGCAATGAACTGGGCCTGCTCAGACACGCAACCCCACACCACTAGTGCCATGCGCGTTTGCTGCTAGCTCAGGCGTGAGTCGGATGCAACCGGCAGCGGCATTCGTATGGGTTTGTACGTTTGTATGAAGTTCCTCGCATGCGCATTTTAATGGCACCTGTTCCAGGTGTGACGGAGCGATAAAGATGCAGCTCTGACCCTATGGGGATGTTGAAACAAGATGAAAGCTAGCTAACCCTTTGCATGTCCCTTGCAGCCAGTGTTGAAATGGCAACACAAGTGATGTATATGCATCATCGCCTTCACATTGCCGGGCGCGGCCTGTACTAGAGGTGCTAACTCTGCACTTGGCAGTCCCAGAGCAGTCTACCTACTACAAGCAAATCCTAGTCCCACACAGGACACACGTGGGTGGGTGGGTGCCTTGACATGCGTTGGTGCACGTCTAGCCTACCCGCTGCTCAAGTACCCACTTAAGGACAGCTCTCTTCGAAACCTGCGCACACACACACACACGAGGAGAGTCAAAACTCAGTGATGACCATCCATGCACCAAGCATGCCCCGAAGGTATTGAACGTGGGCATACAGATGGCAGTGGCAAAAGGCGATGGTGACAAGGGCAAGCACCAGACCCCTGCTCTCACCTGCGCTTGGCATCTGATGTCCCTTCCACCGTCTGCTCTTCACTGGGAGCAGCAACAGCAACTGCAGCAGCCGTAACAACGTCAACACCGCCCTCCTCTTTGCCCACACCAGTTCCCCTCTGCCTCCCCTGCCTCCCGTCCCCTTTCCTGCTCCCCTTGCTGCTGCCTGCTGTACTGCTCAGCGTGGGGCTAAGAGGGGGAGGGCAGGCGTTGGGGCCAAGCTGGGGCAGGGGCACAGGGATGGCGAGGGTGGGGGTGGAAGCATACGTGTGGCGCCTCTTTATGGCCTGAGGCACATCTGACTGAGGCGACAGGGTGGTTGCAGTAGGGCGCATGTGGTGAGTGTGGTGCTGCTCGCTCACACTCCGCTCCACTGCCCCACTCCCACCATGACGCCCCTCTGCCTGCTGCCCACTACCACCACCGCCATAATCCGTTGCACCAACCGTGGCACCACTTCTTGCCGCACTGCCACTCTGCCCAACCCCAGCTCTGCCTCCTTTGGTAGGGCCAATAGCAGCATGGCAGCTGTTGAAGTGCTTGGGAGAGCGCGAGGATAATTGCCCCGGGGCGAGCGCCCTGCTCCCTGGGCCTCCCGGTGCACGCATGGTTGAGGCATCAGGTGCTCGGCTGCCCAGTGGGCTGCTGGGGGCACTCAGCGCTGCGCTCGTGCAGTCCATGCTGCCAGTCTTCACATGCCTGCCCTGTGCGCGTGGGCTGGTAGAGGGAGCGCGGCTGCTGGGCGCCCGCGGGCTGCGTGGCGTGTGCTGGCTGCTGCCCTCTGACAGCAGCGCTGCCACACCCTCACTGCCACGCGCTGCCTGCTGCTGCTCACACTTCCCAATACGGGAAGAGAACACAGCAGGCGGCGGCATGTGGTTGCTACGCGGAGACAGCTGGGAGTGGGGACTGGGCAGGGTGGGTCGGGTGCGTGCTGAGTTGCTGCAATTCACAGCACCGCGCGGGCTGCTCAAAGGACTGCCCAGGGGGCTGTTCAGGGGGCTGTTCAGGGGGCTGTGCTGCGAGTGGCCAGGGGCGAGGGGCGGCGACAGAGAGAGTGGAGGGACCAAGGGGTTGGAGGAGCGGAGGGGGTGGGAGGGGCTGGCAGCAGGGCGGTGGGCGGGGTCAAGGGCGTGGGGCGGGGCAGTGCCCCGAGGGGAGGCAAGGCTGCCAAGGCTCACAGAGCTGCGCGGTGCGTGCGAGCGTGGCTTGGGGCTCACAGCAGGTCGGGGGCTTTGAGGTGGCTTGGACGGCGGAGAGGAGTGGCTGTGGAAGCTGGCAGACATGGCATTCACGCTGCCTGCATCGTCACCATGGCCCCTCTCGCCCCGCCTCTCCTGCCTCGCCTCCTTCGCCTGCCTGTGCCTCGCCGTGCCATCATCCGCTGTGAGCCACTCCTGCTGGGATGAGGGGTAGAGGTCGCTGGGCGCCGGGCAGGGCGAGGCTGTGAGAGGGCGGTGGGGGGAGAGAGCCCCATCGGAGAGGAGGGGAAGCACGGGGCGGGGAGGGGCGGAAGCTTGGCGGGGAACGGGAGGGGAGTGGGTGGTGGTGGGGAGGGGCGCCCACTGTACCGTCGCACCTTCCTTGGATCTGCTTCGCTGCATTCCCTCCTGCTCTTGCCACTCCTGCTGCTGCAGCCACTGCGCTCGCTGCTGCTGCCTCGCACTTAGAACCGCTCTGACCTGCTCCTCCTCCCTGCCTCGCTCCCCGTGGCCACCTGCCCCTCTCCCACCCGCGCTGCTCGCTGGCGGACTGCCACCTCCCACAGTCGCCTGCACGCGCAGCTGCTCGCCCTCACCCCCACCGCGCACGTGCCCACCGGCCTGTGTCATGCCCGCGTCCATCCGCTCTTCCCCGCGCTGCACGCCCGCTGTGCCCGCCACGCCAGGCGCCAACCTGTCCGCCACCCTGCCACTCCCCTGCTGGATCCCCGAACCTTCTGCTGCCTCCCCCTCTGCACCCCCTGCTGCTGCCGCCTCGTCCGTGCTCTGCACTGCCCCATTCCAACTCACGCCTCCCCGCCTGCCCTCCGGGTCCGCGCGCCCTCCCACCGCTGCCTCCCCCAGCTCCGCGGCCTCTCGCTGTTCCGCCTCCGCCACTCGCCTGCGGTGCTCCACGAAGCTCCGCACCACCACCACCTGCGACCGCGGCGACGCTGCTACTGCTGCTGCCGCCGCCGCACAGGGGGAGCGCGGCGACCTCAGGAGCGACTTGGCGGATGCTGCTGCGGGGTCGTTGGAAGGAGCGTTGGGAGAGAGTTTGGGGGAGGCGTGGGGGGAGGTGGAGGGCGACAAGGGCGGGCAGCGCTGGTGCAGCACTTTGAGCGCCTGCTGCTGCGCGCTCTGCTGCGCGCTCTGCTGCGTGCTGGGCTGCAGGCTGGCGACGGAGGTGCGGCGCACGTTCAGCTGCGGCAGGGCTGCCTTGGCGCGCCATCTGCTGCCCCGCCCACTGCCAGACGCCCACCCCTTGTCCTCTTCCCCTGCACTCGCCCTCTCCCCCGCGCCCTCCCCCATCTCAGCAGTCACTGTCTGCTCTTTTCCGCCCTCGCTGCGCCTCCCGCCCGCCACGGGCTTGCGCCATCCGCCGCCCCGCAACGGGCTGCTCCCACCGCCACCCGCAACCTCCGCTTCCGCCGACCTGCGCGCGTCAGAGAGCGACGCAGGCGGGGCGGCGGCGAGCGCAACGGGCGACGCGATTGGGTCGAAGGTGCGGCTTTCCAGAATATCCGGCGCCTCGGCGCTCGTCGCCGATACAGCGCGCGCCACCGACGCTGCGGCGGCTCTGGGCGAAGTGGTGGACCTGGGCGAAGAGCGTAGGGTTACCGACTTGGCGAAGGCGGGAAGCGACCAGGCGGTATCCGACGGGGAGGTGGGAGCGGCGGGGGGCTGATGGGGGAGCGGAGGTTGGGGGAGGAGCGCGACCACTGCCCCAGCTGGAGGAACGGCAGCGACCCCGCCGACTTGGACGGCTTGTGCCCCGCCGCCCGCTCCGCTTCCGCTCGCACCTCCCCGTCCCCGTGCGCCTGCGCCTTGCCGTCCGCCGTGGGAGTGAGGGGATGCCGTGGTGACGACTGGGCGTCCGCAGGGAGCGCGGAGGGGTGGAGCGGGGAGGAGAAGGAGAAGGAGAAGGGTACGGCCGCCGCCGACCACTGGCGCGTGTGACGCGCGCTGCGCGCCTGCTGCGGCGACGAGAGCGGCGACCCCGCCGACCACAGCGAGCGAACGCGGCGATTGGTGAAGCTGCCGCTGGCAAGGCGGCGGGGCGACGAGGTCGCAGCGGGCGACGCATCGCTGGGCGACCGCAGGCTGCGCGTGCTGTCGCTCTCCTCCACCTCCTGCCACAACGCCTCCAGCCGCTCCTGCGCCTCCAGCCGCTCCTGCGCCTCCAGCCGCTCCTGCGCACCCTGCGCCTCCTGCGCCTCCTGCCTCTCCTGCGTGCACGGCACGCGCAATGCAGGCGGATTGTCCGCGCCGACAAGCGGAGAGGAGTCGAGCGGTGGGCGAGCGGGGGACGACATGAGGTCGCGGAGCTCGGTGCGCTCTGTCCCCGCGCTGCACGGCGCGCTGACGGTGCTCGGCGGTACCTCACATAGCAGTACGGCGGATGCCGCAACCATCCGCGCGACTGTACGGCGCAGGCGATGAGAGGAAGGAACGAGACGTGTGAAACGAGGTGCGCGCCATGGGGTGGTGCGAGGCGAGGATGTGGACAGATGTGCGAGGGTAACTCGTATCCGTGCAGGCAGGAAAACTAGGGCTATGACTGGCTGTGGTTCAGGCGGGCTGGGCTGCTTTGCTGTCTGCCTGTTGCATGCATTTTTGGAGGTGCTAATGGATTGGATTGGGTGATGCGTGTCACCTGTGAATATTCGCGCTGCTGCGAGAAACCGTTCTAGAGTGCCACAGCATCGCACTCAACCGCTTCAGCCTGGCAAAAGTCACCCCTCCAAATCGTGATTGGATCGGACGACGGTGAGCGTCCACCGTGTGACCCGAGGGTTGCGATCGAAATCACGTGACCGCAAGTGACGTGATGATGCTGAGATACTTTTGGCTTCGGCTGCGCGTTGAATCACGCACGACCCGCACACCCCTTCTCCCCTCCTCTCTTCACCCCTCCGCCCTTCCCCTCCCCTCCTCCTCCCCTCCCCTCTCCTACCTGCCCAATTCGTCCCAACTGCAGGCCAGTGGCGAGTTCGGTACAAAGGGATAGTGTGTGGTGCATTTTCAAAAGCATTGGAAGCCAATTTGTGATTCGAGTTGTTGACACCTTTTCCACTGGTTGCTGCTGACAAGGGCGACAACACCAAGCTCAGCGCCGCGATATCCGCACCACCACGACAGCAACTCAGCCTGCCCTTCTCTCCGCGCGTACTTTCGACAGCGCTCGCTTCCGTTCGATGGTGCTTGCGCACTCTCCTCCCATCCCCCCCGCCTCCACCCCTTACAACCTCCTCTACCTTCTCTCCTCTTTCTCTTTCCCGCCCTGCTCTCTCTTTGCCTCTCTCGTCGCGCGTGGGGCAGCGGCAGCGTGCGATAGGTGTGGGGTATCCACGCGTAACCGTGTCCGGGTCTGCGTTAGACAGACCTGGACGGATGTCCATAGCCCATGCGTGACCGATGTCCATATCCGATGCGTGATTTAAGTCGATGGGAAGTGGTAGCGTGACGGGAGTCCATGGATACCGAGACGGAACCGCTTCGTGTCAAGGCAACGGGCTTTAAGAGGCGCCACTATGTGAAGCTCCCGGCGCTCCGCCGGTCCCCCGAGCCCAAACGACCGCCGGGCAGCATGGCGGAAGCCCCGCTGGTGCCGCGGACGGCCAGCGGAGGCGGCGGCAGCGGAGCAGTGGATGGGGGGAGCGGAGGCGCGGGGTTGGGGGGAGCCGACAAAGAGGGCGAGCAGGCGTCGCGGAGCGCGTGTCCGTTTGTGGCGCCGACGCTGGCGTTTCTGGTGGCTCGGCGGCGCGCGGTGCTGCTGTGCGCGTCGGCGGCGTGCGCGGCGGTGGCGGCAGGGCTGTTCTGCCTGGTGTACTTCCTCCACCTCGCCTCCTACCAGGTGCCGCGCGCGTGCCGCCTCGCACGCACAAGGGCTCCGTTGGAGGGCGGGCTGGGCAACAGGGCTGGGGCAGGAGGGGGTTGGGCGAAGGGGTTTGGACGATGCTGGGAGCAGTGTATCGTGACACTCTGGATTGCATTGTCATGTGTCGGCCGTCTCTGTTGCATGATCTTAACGGTTTGTGGGATGTGGTGCTTCTGTGTGTGATGTGCTGTGTGAGATGCGGTGCTGCTGTGTGTGATGTGCTGTGTGTGATGTGGTGCTGCTGTGTGTGATGCGGTGTCCACTGCACGTGCGTTGTGCTGCGCGCCGTGCAGGAGTCTCTGTCATCGCAGTGTGCGTTGTGGGCGCACGAGTTGGGCAGTGCACTACAAGCATCGCTGGGAGGGGTGCGCGCGCTGGGAGACACGCTCACAGTGCTGCACGCGGCGGTGGACCAGGTACGCATGCTGCCACGTGCTGCCACTGCATTGGAGCGCCTCGTTACATGGAGCGGCTCCCGTCATCCGCTGTTGCTTCAGCTACTGTGGCAGCGCCTCCTACCTAGATTGCTCGTTGCTCGTTGCTGCTTGCTGCTTGCTCAATCGCTTGGTTGCTCGTTGCTCGTTGTTGGTTGCTGATTGCTCATCGGCGCGACCACTCTCCCCTCTGCTTGCCCCCTGCACGCGGGGAGCGCAGCAGGCGGCGTTTACGCGCCTGGTGGCCGCCACCGACTACACGCGCCCGCTGCTCGCCTTCCCTCCCCCGGCCCCTCTCGCCGCTGCAGCAGACGCGGGGGCGAGTGGGTGGGGGCAGGGGGCGAGCGCCATGGGGTATGCGCTCTCGCTCAACCACTCCTCGCGCGGCGCCGTCCAGAACAGCTTCCTCAACGCCACCTGCATCTGGTGCGTGTGCGGCCCCCTATCATACGCAACCCCATCCTTGTCCCCTCGTGCCACATCATCTCGCACTTGATTTATGTAACCCGTACAGTCACCACCCCTCACATTCTCTCCTCCCTCCAGTCACATTCCCCTCCACCCCTCAGTCTCTCCCGCTTTTGCATCCTCTCTTCTCTTCACATTCTCTCCTCCCCTCACATTCTCTCCCTCCTCACCTTGTCGCCTCCCCCCCCCAGTAGCTCCGTGCTGCCCAACCGTCCACGTGCACACCATTCCCGGACCTCCGCCCTATGCTCACCCTCCGCCTGCCCTCTGCACTCTGTTTGCTGTCCGCCCTGCATGCATGTACGCGTTCAGGAATGTGAGTGGAGAGTGCGCGCCTCAGCAGCAGCACTACCTGCCGCTGCTCCACTACTCGCCCACCCTCGCCACCATCCTCTCTCACCTCGCCACCGCCAACAGCAGCAGGAGTGGCGTGGGGGCGGCGTATGTGGGACTGGACATGCTTTCTGGTGTGTGTGGTGAAGAGGGGGGAAAGGGTGGGTGGTGCGGGCTGTGATTTTAAAACGTGTCTGTTGGTGTGGTTGTTGCTACTATATGCAGAAACTACCTCATGCCATCAGTTTGGATCGAGTCGTCTGTGCCGTTGCCTGCCAGCCACCCATGCCAAAGCGCACACCCGACTCGCTACGAGCTTCATAGAAATGCCTCTCCCACAGTCAGCACCAGCATTGCACATTTGCTGAAGCACAAACCCTGCACGCCAAAAGTCAGCTCCCCTCCTTTTAACCTGCACCTGCGGATGCCCACCCCCCTCCCCCTCTTCCATACAGTCCCCCAGCTGGGCCCCGCGGTTGCCGTCTCATCGCTCTCCGCCCTCTCGGCCCGCCTGCCCTGCACCCTCTCCCCGCCCTTCGCCCCTCGCTTCCCCTTCCCTGACAACTCCTCCTCCGTGCCCACCTCTTCCCCCTCACCCACCACCATCAAATCCTCCTCTTCGACCACCACCAGCAGCGGCAGCAGCAGCAGCAGCGACCAATCATGGTCGTTCCCTGCTAATACATCTTTCTCGTCGTCATTGGCAGCAGCAGCAGCAGCAGCAGCAGCAGCAGCAGCAGCAGCAGCAGCAGCAGCAGCTGAGTGGCCAGCGGAGCAGCAGCGGAGAGCAGTGGTGGCATCAGTGCCCGTGTATGGACGAGCCGTGCCGCCCAACGCCACGTCAGACGAGATGCAGGCAGCAGTGATTGGATTCGTATTTGCAGTGGCTGACATGCAGCTCGCCCTCTCGCAGCTCTCTCAGGTACTTCCATCCCCGCCTCATGCCATGCCTCCTCTCACCCGTGCTCCCACTGCTCCTCTTGTCTCAACATGGCAGTTTAAGCCGAGCTGCCCAACTTGCACTTCGCATCCCCCACATCATCATCCATGTGCTGCCCGCCTCCTGCTCCTGCCCCTCTCTCCCTCTCCCCCCTTTCTCCCCCTGTTGCAGGCGCCATCCAGCGGCAGCAGCAGCTGTGGGTCAGCGGCGCTGCAGCTGCAGCTGCAGGACACCACCGCCCCCACCACCACGCTCGTCCTCGCCCAGTATCCCCCGCTGCAGCCCCCCGCCGTGCCTGAGGCGCCCTCGTCCTTCCCTGCAGCGCACGTCGTGCCTCTGCCGGCAGTGGGTCGCCAGTACACCCTCGCCTGCAGGTACCACCGCCCCGCACCCTGTTGTACCTTGCTTTGCTCTCCGCTCCTTATCAGTGTCTCTCCTCACACCTGCAACATCCCCTCCGCGTCCCTTCCGTTCCCCCTCCTGTTCTTCAAGTTTATTTTGCCCCTCGTCCCCTGCGCCCTGCACCTTGCCCCCATGGTCTGTGTCCCGCGTGTCCCGTGCGTGCCCGTGGGCGCAGGTACCAGTCACGGCCGTTCCCGTACATGGCGGTGGTGTGGCCGTGTGTGGCGGTGGCGGGAGCAGCGCTGGTGGTGGCGGTGGTGTATGTGGTGGCGGGCGAGGTGGTGCGCGTGGAGGGCGACCTGCAGCGCATGGCAGCTCTCAAGGAGCAGATGCGCGCCGCCAAGGTCGCTGCCGAGGCCGCCAGCCGCGCCAAGGGCACCTTCCTCGCCACCATGAGCCATGAGATCCGCACTCCCATGAACGGCGTCATCGGTGCGTGCGCTCTGCTCTGCTGTCCGCTGCTCTGCTCTGCTGCGCTGTTCTGTGCTATGCTGTGCTGTGCCCACGCTGCCTCCGAGCACTGGATTGTGCAACCCTAAACCCGAAATCCATGGGTCACTGCATGCATGCACGAATGGCTGCATGTTTGCAACCTCTGATGTGTAGTCCAATGATGCTTCCGTTTTTACCCTTCCCCACCTTCCCTTCCCTTCCCCTCACCCTCCCCTTCCCCCCCCCGGGCATGGTTGACAGGCATGCTGAACCTGCTGCTGCAGACGCCGTTGGACGCGGTGCAGCTGGACTACGTGGAGACGGCGCGCACCAGCGGCAGGGCGCTCTGCTCCCTCATCAACGACATCCTCGACCTCTCCAAGATCGAGGTGCGCTGGGCCCCACACTCCCGCACCCCACACCCACATGCCGCTCGCACCCCACACCCGCGTGTCCCTCTCACTCCACACCCACGTGCTCCGCACTGCACCACACGCCTCCACTCTGCTCCATACTTGCAACACTTCCCTAACTCACGCCTGCACACAGCATGCCATCGACTCGGCACAGAATGACACCACCATCGAACCGAGTGGCTGCATTCATCCATCACGATCAAGTCGCTCTCCTCCCTATATCTCAATTCCTGCTCTAATGGTTCCTTCCCTGCGCTATCATGCCCCTTCTCCCCCCCTCCCCTCCCTCCATGGGTGTGTGTGGTGGGCGCGTGCACGCGGGGATGAGGGCAGGCGGGGCGGATGGAGTTGGAGAGCATGAGGGTGGACGTGAGGGCGGAGATAGACGACGTGCTGAGCATGTTTGTGGAGCGCACGCGCAACAAGCCGCAGGTCGAGGTGGCCGCGCTCGTGCACGACGCCGTGCCCACGTTTGTGCTGGGCGACGCGCTGCGGCTGCGGCAGGTGCTGATCAACCTGCTGTCCAACAGCTGCAAGTTCACGGCGCGCGGCCACGTGCTCATCACCGTGCGCACCGCCGCCCCGCACGACCACCTCGCCGTCCCCGGCGCCCACTTTGCCGACGCCCGCTCCCTCGCCCGCACCTCCCTTGCCGACTCCGACCGCGCTGCTCCCATCACCAGCGCCGCTGCAGTTACTAACACACCCGGTGCCGATGGTGCGGGTGCAGCAGGAGGCGGGTGGAGCTCCACCCCTGCCCCAGCTGGAGGTGCTGCCGCAAGTGCAGTGATGACTGCGCCTGCTGCTGGTGGTGGTGGTGGTGGCAAGACCGTAGTGGCGGATGCAGGTGGTGCACGGGGAGAAGTGAGTGCGCGTGCTGGGACAGCGCCGGGTGCTGGGACAGCGCCGGGTGCTGGGACAGCGCCGGGTGCTGGGACAGCGCCGGGTGCTGGGACAGCGCCGGGTGCTGGGACAGCGCCGGGTGCTGGGACAGCGCCGGGTGCTGGGACAGCGCCGGGTGCTGGGACAGCGCCGGGTGCTGGGACAGCGCCGGGTGCTGGGACAGCGCCGGGTGCTGGGACAGCGCCGGGTGCTGGGACAGCGCCGGGTGCTGGGACAGCGCCGGGTGCTGGGACAGCGCCGGGTGCTGGGACAGCGCCGGGTGCTGGGACAGCGCCGGGTGCTGGGACAGCGACGGGTGCTGGGACAGCGACGGGTGCTGGGACAGCGACGGGTGCTGGGACAGCGCCGGGTGCAGCGCCTGGAACAACACAACCGGCAAATGGCAGGAGTGGGGAGGGCGGAGAGGAAACTCGCAGGTTGGGCGGAGGTGACTCAGATGCATGGGAGGGAGAGGTACACGGGGAGAAGGACCAGTGTTCGGGTGAGGCGGGCGCAGGGGAGATGATTGATGGGGGCTTCTCCGGCGGCGTCACGCAGGCTCGAGTCGAGGCGGTTGGTCAGATGGGCGCAGAGACAGGCAGTGATGGGCAGGGGCAGGGGCAAACGGGGCAGCTGCAGAACAAAGAGATGGGGCAGGGGCAGAGGCAGGGGCGGGGGGCGAGGCAGGGGGAGTTTGAGACGCTGAGTGGAGTGGAGGCGGTGGAGAGCTGCAACAGCTGGGCGCGCATCCAGGCACTCATGGAGCGCCCCCCCCAGGCAGGCCCGCCCCCCGGCCACCTGCAGTGCACGCCTGCTGGGCCGCACAGCAGTGGTGGGGCTGCGGGCAGGGCGGGGGAGCAAGGCGGAGGTGAAGCACAGAGTGGGATGGTGCGCCTGGTGGTGTCCGTTGAGGTGAGCAGCGCACTGCTGGTAGGGACATGAACCGCTGGTGTCCTGTGCCAAGGAGTCAATCAGTGGTTCGTGGTGCAATAAAGCCAGTGGCATGCTGTGATATGAAGTGATATATGCCTTGTTTCACAGACACTGGCATGCGGTGAATATGGTGTGACCAAGGCACTGTGACTGAAGCTACTGTGATTGCCTCTGCTCTCATCACCCCCACTGCATGCTGGCAGGACACGGGGCACGGCATACCGTGGCCGGCGCAGCCTCGTCTGTTTCGGCCGTACGTGCAGGCGGATATCAGCACGACGCGCACACACGGCGGCACGGGCATCGGTCTGTCCATCTCGCAGCACCTGGTGGCGCTGATGGGCGGCAAGCTGGCGTTTGTGAGCCGGCCGGGCGTGGGCACCACCTTCTTCTTTGACATCACGCTGCCCTTTGAGAACCCCCCGGACCCCTCCCATGACGCCCCCGCCGCTGCTGCTCCTGCTGCCGCCAGCAAGAGAAGAAGTGCCCCCGCACTTGCCTCTCGTGTCTCTGACCTTCAGGTGCGTGCGAGGCTGCTTGCTGTGTCAGCGTGAGGACCTTATTCGGTGTTGGCAGCCCATATCAGTGGCACTGGTCACAGGAGTGACAGTCTGCCTTGCAGCGAGCGCAATTACCGTGTCTCTATGCATTCACTGTGCCTCCGTGCATTCACTGTCCCTCCATGCATGCCCGCCCCTCCTGCTCGCCTGGTGCACAGGGGTGCACAGCGGTGGTGCTGGACGACCGGGCTGTGAGGCGCGCCGTCACAGCCACGTATCTGCGCCGCCTCAGGCTCAACGTGCTCCTCGCTCGCCGCTGGGAGGACCTCCCCCCACTCCCCGCCCTGCCACTGTCCCCCTCCCCTCCTGCCCCGCCTGCTCCTGCCACTCCCCCCCAAGCTACCCCAACCTCCTCGGGCCCACTGGCAGTGGTGGGCGTGGTGCCCCCTGCACTGCCAGGAGTGGCAGCAGCATCGCTGGCGGGGCATGAGAGTGGTGTGGCTCCCCCCTCACATGCCGGGCCATCTGTTGCCGCAGGAGTGACGGCAGGCGCAGCGAGCACAGCAGCAGGCAGTGCGGGTGGCGGCGGGGCGGGCCCCCCAGCGGGCAGTGCGTTCCTGCTGGTGGACGCTGAGACACTCGCCCGCCATGCCCGCGCCTGGCGCCACTCATTGCCCACGCCACCTGCGCGCACACATGAGGGAAAGCGGGGCGAGGGGGGCGAGCCTGGGGTTGGAATGGCAGGCTTGGGCACGGGCAGGGATGGTGATGGGGCGTGGGGGGATGTTGCAGGGGCGGAGGCAGAGGCAGAGGCAGGGGCAGGTGTGGGGCGTGATGGGGCAGGTGGAGTGGAGTGCGCAGCGCGCATTGTGCGTGCAGGCAGCGAGATGACACCCGTCCACCCGTCGTCGCCGGGGAGGGCAGGAGACGAGTCGCCACAGTTCTGTGGGCCCCTGGCAGCCTCTGACGGGGCTGCCACACCCGCCCTCGGCACACTGGCGTCTGCCACGCCCCCCTCCCCTGCTGGCAGCGTGGAGAGCCCCGACGGCAGCAGTGGCGCTGGCAGTGGCGCCATGGCAGGTGGCGGCGGGGGAGGCAGTGGCGTGCTGACAAGCGCTGCTGCCATGGCCACTGCTGCTGCCTTCTGGACCAGCCGACAGCAGCAACAGCCGGGGGGAGTGGAGGAACAGCAGCAACAAGAGCAAGGAGTGGGGGAGTGGCCACAGCAGCAACAGCGATTGGGGGAACAGAGGCAACAGCAGCAAGAAGCACATGAGAAGAAGCTGAGTTCACAGTGGCAGTCACAGCAGCAGGACCAGCAGGAGCAGGAGCAAGAGCAGCAGCAGCAACATGTGAAGCATTCACTTCCTGTGCAGCCGTTGCAACAGGAAAGTGGAGGGAGTGAGAGGGTTGATGAGGAGCATCGTGATGCAGCGGGGGTTGGTGGGAGTAGTGCTCTAGCCAGTGCAGTTTCCAGGGGCACAGGCACAGGGACAGGCACAGGCACAGGTTCAGGCACGGATGCGGACACGGGCACGGGGTTGAAGTTGAGTGCGGGTATGGGTATGGCCATGGGCAATGGCATGGGCATGGGCATGGGTGCATGGCGCATGGTGCTGCTGGTGCGCGAGCCGAGCATGGAGAGCGTGGCCGCCCAGGCGGGCTTCCACGCCACGCTGCTGAAACCCATCCGCCGCGCCGCCCTCGTGGGCGCGCTGCTGCAGGCCGCCAAGCACGGCAGCGGCGGGGGCAGCAGCAGCAGTGCACAGGGCGCAGAGGGCGGGCAGGGCACCTTGGGTAGGCGAGGGGAAGGAGGATCTGAAGGAAGGAGAGGGACAGAAGTGTCAAGTCCTGATGATTTCAGAGGCGTGATGGGTGGGGAGCACGAATACGTGGTTGTGGTGGACAACGGGGCAGAGGATGCATGTGGGGCAGAGGATGCATGTGGGGCAGAGGATGCCTGTGGGGCAGAGGATGCATGTGGGGCAGGTGCAGGCGAAGCAGAGAGAGTGGATGGAGGAGCATCTGTGGAGTCAGACATGGCTCTCTTCCCTGTCACGCTCACGGGAAGGAGCGGAAACAAGGAGATGCATCTGAAGCAGGTGGAGGCAGGAGAGAGGAGTGGTGGCGAGAGGAGAGTGGCGGTGGAAGGGCGGGGTGGCAGCAGTGCGGCGGTGGCGAGTCCCAGGGCGAGGAGGGTGGCTGAGCGTGCCCCACAGTCGCTGACTCAGATGCTCACTGCAGTGCTGCATGGCAAGCACTTTCTGGTGGTGAGTTTCTGTTGGACTCATTGCAGCTGCTTGGACATGTAAGGCCTAAGCACCAGTGGCACTGGGTTGAGTGCACTACTGCCCCGTTCGTATGTGTAATGTGGTGTGGTGTGGTGTGGTGTGGTGTGGGTGTGCAGGTGGACGACAACATGGTGAATCGCAAGGTGATAGCCAAGATGCTGGAGCGATACAAGGTGCACGTGGTGCCTGTCGTGGGGGGTGCTGTGGCCGTGGCCAAGGTGGTGCCGGGCCACGCCTTCCACTGCATCCTCATGGACGTCCAGGTCAGCTCTCCGCCTTCTCTGCATGCCCGCTGCACCGCTGGGGCTGCAGCCTGGGCAGCACTTTACTGCTAGCTACTGTATGCTTGTCACCCCCCACCTCACAAATCCATGTTTCTTTCTGCCCTCACTGCATCCAGATGCCGGGTATGGACGGATTCGAAGCCACAAGGCAAATTCGCAGGCAAGAAGCGAAGTACAGGCTCTCACAGACTCCGATATTTGCACTAACAGCGGACATCTTTGCAGGGACTCGGGAGAAGTGCATCGAGTCTGGCATGAACGGCTTCTTGTCAAAGCCTATAGAGGAGGAGCAGCTGTGGAACGTGATTTACAAGTACTTTTGCCATTTGACAGACTCTCTTTTTGTGGAAACGCCTCCAACAATTAGTCCACCATTTTAAGAGTGCCTGTTAGGGCCGTCGGACCCTGCACTGGATGCGGGTCCAGTCAGCAGGAGCTGTCAAAATGATTGAAACCAATTATTCTAAAAATAGATTGTTCAATGAGATCATAGAAAAACATAATAATACTAAGAGAAGCTAATCTAAAGATGAAAAAAAATAGATTGATAGCCTAGTAAATTTAGCTAGCTTATGGATGTAATAAATCCGCTACAACGCAATGGCGCAACGATCGGGCGGCGTAATAATTGAGCGGCGCAGCGACGCAACAACGCAACGAGGCAACAACGCAACGGCGCAACGACTCGACGGTGCAATGATGACATACGATGTAATAAATCGCAACAGCGCAACGACTCAAAGGCGGATCTGCATTTACTAGAAATACTACATACATATAATAATGTATGTTCCATTTTAGACTAGCTAGTATATGTGGCACATTGTAGTAATATTGGAACATTGTAATATCGTGACAAACGAGCATCGTGACTAGCGAGAATCGTGACTAGCGAGCATCGTGACTACCGAGCATCGTGACTAGCGAGTATCGTGACCAGCGAGCATCGTGACTAGCGAGCATCGTGATCAGCGAGCATCGTGACTAGCGAGCATCGTGACCAGCGAGCATCGTGACTAGCGAGCATCGCGACCAGCGAGCATCGTGACGAGCGAGCATCGTGACTAGCGAGCATCGTGACCAGCGAGCATCGTGACCAGCGAGCATCGTGATTAGCGAGCATCGTGATCAGCGAGCATCGTAACCAGCGAGCATCGTAACTACCGAGCATCGTGACTAGAGAGCATCGTGACCAGCGAGCATCGTGACTAGCGAGCATCGTGACTAGCATTGTGAGCATCGTGATTGACATCGTGAGAATATAAAACCGTTAAGAGGTATAAGTAAATTTCAAATAAATTCCTTTATCAATCCGTTAAAATGATTGAAACCAATAATTCTAAAAATAGATTGTTCAATGAGATCATAGAAAAACATAATAATACTAAGAGAAGCTAATCTAAAGATGAAAAGAAAAATGATAACATAGTAGATTTAGCTAGCATCAGGGCTCTCGCTAGGTTTAGGGGCTGTCTGACAGTACTCTGAAAAAATTTTCCCCCGTCTTATGCTCGGGCGACGAAACTTCCGTGGTCTGCATCATAAGCTGGAATAAATTTTCTAGTCTGATAACAAACTCCTGGCAGCATATGCCGCAGTTACATGACAGCGAGGCTGCTATAAGACACGCGTAATGAATACGCGTGCTGTTACAGGGCAGCAAATGGCTGTATCTGTGGTCCTATCCTCTGGTCCACTGGGCATATGGCCTAGTGGGTCAAGATGTCGGTTTCAGACGAACCTAAAACTCTTATCTTACTGATCAGATGAGAACAAACACAGATTCTTAGGAAGCAGATGAATACAAAAAAACAAGTCTGAAACTCAGACCATCAGACCAAATTGGTCTGATAACGAGAATCCTGGCTAGCATATGGATGCAATAAATCGCTACAACGCAATGTCGCAACAATCGAGCGGCGTAATGATTGAGCGGCGCAGCGACGCAACGAGGCAACAACGCAACGGCGCAACGATCCGACGGTGCAATGATGACATACGATGTAATAAATCGCAACAGCGCAACGACTCAATGGCGGATCTGCATTTACTAGAAATACTACATATAATAATGCATGTTCCATTTTAGACTAGCTAGTATATGTGGCACATTGTAGTAATATTGGAACATTGTGATATCGTGACAACGAGCATCGTGATTAGCGAGCATCGTGACCAGCGAGCATCGTGACTAGCGAGCATCGTGACTAGCGAGCATCGTGACTAGCGAGCATCGTGACAAACGAGCATCGTGACTAGCGAGCATCGTGACCAGCAAGCATTGTGGCTAGCGAGCATCGTGACCAGCGAGCATCGTGACTAGCGAGCATCGTGACCAACGAGCATCGTGACTAGCGAGCATCGTGACCAGCGAGCATCGTGACTAGCGAGCATCGTGACCAGTGAGCATCGTGACTAGCGAGCATCGTGACCAGCAAGCATCGTGACTAACGAGCATCGTGACTAGCGAGCATCGTGACCAGCGAGCATCGTGATTAGCAAGCATCGTGATCAGCGAGCATCATGACCAGCGAGCATCGTAACTACCGTGCATCGTGACTAGCGAGCATCGTGACCAGCGAGCATCGTGACTAGCAAGCATCGTGACTAGCATCGTGAGCATCGTGATTGACATCGTGAGAATATAAAACCGTTAAGAGGTATAAGTAAATTTCAAATAAATTCCTTTATCAATCCGTTAAAATGATTGAAACCAATTGTTCTAAAAATAGATTGTTCAATGAGATCATAGAAAAACATAATATTACTAAGAGAAGCTAACCTAAAGAGGAAAAAAATCAAATTGATAACCTAGTAGATTTAGCTAGCTTATGGATGTAATAAATCGCTACAACGCAATGGCGCAACGATCGAGTGGCGTAATGATTGAGCGGCGCTGCGACGTAACGACGCAACGAGGTAACAATGCAACGGCGCAACGATCCGACGGTGCAATGATGACATACGATGTAATAAATCTCTATGTACCATTGTAGACTAGCTAGTATATGTGGCACAATGTAATAATATTGGAACATTGTAATATCGTGACAAACGGCCTCCAACGTGGCACCTTCACACGCTGAGCTGCGTTGCTAGCACGCTCTGCTGCGTTGCTAGCACGCTGAGCTGCGTTGCTAGCACGCTCTGCTGCGTTGCTAGCACGCTCTGCTGCGTTGCTAGCACGCTCTGCTGCGTTGCTAGCACGCTCTGCTGCGTTGCTAGCACGCTCTGCTGCGTTGCTAGCACGCTCTGCTGCGTTGCTAGCACGCTCTGCTGCGTTGCTAGCACGCTCAGCTGCGTTGCTAGCACGCTCAGCTGCGTTGCTAGCACGCTCTGCTGCGTTGCTAGCACGCTCAGCTGCGTTGCTAGCACGCTCAGCTGCAATGCTAGCACGCTCAGATGCGTTGCTAGCGCTCAGCTCCGTTGCTAGCGCTCTGCTGCGTTGCTAGCACGCTCAGCTGCGTTGCTAGCACGCTCTGCTGCGTTGCTAGCACGCTCTGCTGCGTTGCTAGCACGCTCTCCTTCGTTGCTAGCACGCTCTCCTTCGTAGCTAGCACGCTCCACTGCGTTGCTAGCACGCTCTGCTGCGTTGCTAGCACGCTCTGCAGCGTTGCTAGCACGCTCTGCTGCGTTGCTATTACGCTCAGCTACGTTGCTAGCACGCTCTGCTGCGTTGCTAGCACGCTGAGCTGCGTTGCTTGCACGCTCTGCTGCGTTGCTAGCATGCTCAGCTGCGTTGCTAGCACGCTCTGCTGCGTTGCCAGCACTCTCAGTTGCGTTGCTAGCACGCTCAGCTGCGATGCTAGCGCTCTGCTGCGTTGCTAGCGCTCTGCTGCGTTGCTAGCACGCTCAGCTGCGTTGCTAGCACGCTCTGCTGCGTTGCTAGCACGCTCTGCTGCGTTGCTAGCACGCTCTGCTACGTTGCTAGCACGCTCTGCTGCGTTGCTAGCACGCTCTGCTGCGTTGCTAGCACGCTCTGCTGCGTTGCTAGCACCCTCTTCAGCGTTGCTAGCATGCTCTGCTGCGTTGCTAGCACGCTCAGCTGCGTTGCTAGCACGCTCTGCTGCGTTGCTAGTACGCTCTGCTGCGTTGCTAGCACGCTCTGCTGCGTTGCTAGCACGCTCTGCTGCGTTGCTAGCACGCTCTGCTGCTTTACTAGCATGCTCTGCTGCGTTGCTAGCACGCTCTGCTGCGTTGCTACCACGCTCTCCTGCGTTGCTAGCATGCTCTGCCGCGTTGCTAGCACGCTCAGCTGCGTTTCTAGCACGCTCTGCTTCGTTGCTAGCACGCTCTGCTGCGTTGCTAGCACGCTATGCTGCATTGCTAGCTCTCTGCTGCTTTGCTAGCACGCTCTGCTGCGTTGCTATCACGCTCTGCTGCGTTCAAGCCTTCAAGCCTTCAAGCCCTCAAGCCCTCAAGCCTTCAAGCCCTCAAGCCCTCAAGCCTTCAAGCCTTCAAGCCCTCAAGCCCTCACGCCCTCAAGCCCTCAAGCCCACAAGCTCTCAAGCCCTCATGCCCTCAAGCCCTCAAGCCCTCAAGCCTTCAAGCCTTCAAGCCTTCAAGCCTTCAAGCCTTCAAACCCTCAAGCCTTCAAGCCTTCAAGCCTTCAAGCCTTCAAGCCTTCAAGCCCTCAAGCCTTCAAGCCTTCAAGCCTTCAAGCCTTCAAGCCTTCAAGCCTTCAAGCCTTCAAGCCCTCAAGCCTTCAAGCCTTCAAGCCTTCAAGCCCTCAAGCCTTCAAGCCTTCAAGCCCTCAAGCCCAAGCCTTCAAGCCTTCAAGCCTTCAAGCCCTCAAGCCTCAAGCCTTCAAGCCTTCAAGCCTTCAAGCCTTCAACCCTTCAAGCCTTCAAGCCTTCAAGCCTTCAAGCCATCAAGCCTTCAAGCCTTCAAGCCTTCAAGCCTTCAAGCCTTCAAGCCTTCAAGCCCTCAAGCCCTCCAGCCTTCAAGCCCTCAAGCCTTCAACCCTTCAAGCCTTCAACCCTTCAAGCCTTCAAGCCTTCAAGCCTTCAAGCCTTCAAGCCTTCAAGCCTTCAAGCCTTCAACCCTTCAAGCCCTCAAGCCTTCAAGCCTTCAAGCCTTCAAGCCCTCAAGCCATCAAGCCTTCAAGCCTTCAAGCCTTCAAGCCTTCAAGCCTTCAAGCCCTCAAGCCTTCAAGCCTTCAAGCCTTCACGCCTTCAAGCCTTCAAGCCTTCAAGCCTTCAAGCCCTCCAGCCTTCAAGCCCTCAAGCCTTCAAGCCTTCAAGCCTTCAAGCCCTCCAGCCTTCAAGCCCTCAAGCCTTCAAGCCTTCAAGCCTTCAAGCCTTCAAGCCTTCAACCCTTCAAGCCCTCAAGCCTTCAAGCCTTCAAGCCTTCAAGCCCTCAAGCCATCAAGCCTTCAAGC